ATTACAAGAAATATCTCTTTGATTTTTCTCATGCTGTTATATTTCATTGCCAAAACTTTGATGTGAGATAATAGACCCAGTATCCATATATACAGAAGAAATTTTTAATGAACAGTGTCTATAGCAGTGATGGCGAACCTTTTAGAGACCGAGTGCCCAAACTGCAACCCAAAATCCACTTATGCATCGTCGGGTGCCGGGTGGGCGTGGCCTATTGGGTGGGCGTGGCTGCAGTGGTAACAGCAGACTGGGTGGGACTAAAAAGTTCAATCAATCAATTCCAACTTTGCAAGATCTTTTTTTTTCCCCTGAGAAGTTGAAATTGATTGATTGATTGAACCTTTTTTTTTTTGCACACGGCGGCGGAAGCCTAAAGCGAAAAGGTTTTATAAAACCCAGCTGAAGGCCTAGGACTGGGGCGATGGCGTGTGTGCCCACAGAGAGGGCTCTGAGTGCCGCCTCTGGCACCCGTGCCATAGGTTCGCCACCACTGGTCTATAGAAATGTTTTCTGAATTAGAGGGTATTTGCACTTTGGTATCTCCCCTTTCCATGAAGGAATTAATATTACCTTCCTATTTCAAGATTCAATTTATGTGAACTTTCTTTATTAATTTTAATAGTGGCAAAAGGCACATGTACTCTGACGAAGTATGAAGTATGTATATAGTTCATGTTACAAAGAGTTATGCAATATATTGGTTAAATATTTATGTACCACAAGCTTGTATCATTTTATCAAATCAGCATATTAAAAAGGTCTTGTTTCATGTACTTAGGAAACATTTATTTACAATTACTATATTTAACTTGAACGTTATGAGAAAATTCTTTTCTTTTTTAAAAAAAATCACCTGAGGATATATTTGTGTACTTGCTTCTTATGTAGTCAACCTCACTCTAAATCAGGGAATTGACACCCGGGAATTGACCAGGATGCCAAATGGTCAAAGAATGGCCTGTCCTTTTCCCTAAGCAGAGAGAGCAAATAATCCATTTTTAATCCCCTGTACTTTGGGATATCCCCTGAATGCTATTTTTAAAAAATTACCTGGCTGTATATTTATAGTCACTAGCAAGGGCTATTATCCAGTCATGCAGATGACTAGATAAAATGATCCAACTATTTACAGGTAGGCTTTCATCTTTCATTATGCTGACTGAGATGACAAAGCTACAATTAAAACTTGCTTGTAATCAAACCATGGTTTAGCAGAACATTTCCCAATAAAAGGCCTTTCAAACATATTACACTACAATTCCTATCTCACACCCATTGACATGGAAAAATATTGTATTTTGAGTGATTACAGTTCTCCAGATAACAATTCCTATTACCTATTAACAGGAGTTGCCACAAAGAAGAGGGAGTCAAGCTATTCTCCAAAGCACCTGAAGGCAGGACAAGAAGCAATGCATGGAAACTAACCAAAGAGAGAAGCAACCTAGAACTAAGGAGAAATTTTGTGATAGTTAGAACAATTAATCAGTAGAACAACCTGCCTCCAGAAGCTGTGAATGCTCCAACACTGGAGGTTTTTAAGAAGAGACTGGACAATCATTTATCTGAAATGATATAGGGTTTCCTGCCTGAGCAGGGGATTGGTCTAGATTAGAAGACCTCCAAGATCCCTTCCAACTCTATTATTATTATTACCTATTCATGTTGGAAGGAAATACTGAATACTGTACATCAAACCTTGGCATTTTACAGGCTGTGGGCCACGTGCAGCCCATGGGGCTGTCCCTGTCTAGCCCATGGTGGTATGTATTGTTGTTAGATGGTGGGGTATCATCAGTGGCAAGGGGCGGAGCAATGGCAGAAGGGGCAGGGTGCCGCTCTGGAGAGTGGGGGGCAGCGTTGGTGCGTGGAATGGCTTATTTGGGAAGCAGGGAGCAGTGGTGGGATGTCGGCAGCAGGGGCTAAGGCAACGGCATCCCTTCACAATAGTCCCAGTTTCTCATGTGATCTTTTGGAAAAATTAATTACCCATTCCTGCTATAGATCCTCCCTTAAGTTCTTACCTCATCATATGATCTGGGCTCCACCTTTTAGAACTAATCATGATTTACTGAATAAATCACAACTGCTCAAGCTCGCAGGCCATCAAGTCATAAAGTGTAAACTGTCATGGCTGGATTTCACACACTAAACCCAAACCAAATAAATGACTTGATGTCTTGGTATAATTCAATGTTTCTCAACCTCGACAATTTGAAGATGTGTGGATTTCAGCTCCTAGAATTCCCCAGCCAGCAAAGCAACTGATTCAGTCTTTGCTGACTTCTAAACTTAAAAAATCCTGCCCTTACGCCCCACTGTCAGTGACTGGCCAATTTATATATAATGGGCTGCATTTACCCTAATGTACCTTAAAGAAAATACAAACGTATTAAACAGGTGACCCATCTCTCAGCTTTATGTATTATACAGGTAATCCTTACTTAATGATTGCCCTGTTTAGTGACTGTTCAAAGTTATGATATCTTTGAAAAAAATAACTGTACGATTAGTCCTTGCGCTTACGACCATCACGTGATTGTGAATGGAACTTTTCTCAACCGGTGGGTGTTTACAAATGTTTTAGTATCCCATGGTCATGTGATCACCCTCTATGTCCTTCACAGCTAGCCTCTGACAAGCAGAGTCAAGTGAAAAGTAAAATTACAAGCCAGCAGTAAAATGTTATATAGTTGGCAGTAAAAAGAAATAGACAGTAAAGTTACAAAGCATACTTTTCACTTAAACATGTACATTGAGTTTCAACACTTGACCGAGTTGATGCAATAATTTCCTTAAAAAGAAAAACAATGAAAGCTAACAAGCAGGAAAATATTAGGAATTTTAATTATATTTACTGATAAATAAATGAAAATTAAAATAAAGCATGAAAAGAACTGAAAGAAACAGTAATTCAGAATATGGAGAGACATAGTGATGCATATTGAACCTATATTTGTTTAGCTTGTACAGCAAATACCTTATAAGAATGGAAGGATTAGAAAAGGGGACAATTGGAATCAAAACTGATGACTGGAACCCTAACAGTTAAAGATAAACTTTCCTGGTTGCAAGTAAAGACAACTTAGAAGAGCTGTTGAAAGATTAAAATGGAATGTGAAAAATTTGGGTTAATGCTAAATATTAAGAAGACAAAGGTAATATCAACCAGTATGTTTACTGAATTCATAATAATTGATGGTTTTCAGGGGCTGGAGAAATACAAACAGTCTCTTAATCATAGGAGAAAGGCAGTGACAAACGTAGGAAGAATAAGGTTATTTCTATGACAAGAAAGATCAGAATCTGCAAAGCAATTATTTTTCCATTGTGCAAGTATGAAATTGAGAAAGACAGAGTAGGAAGAAAGACATAATTGATTTACAAAGATGGAAATGGCTGATAAGAATAAGATGAACCATAAGATGAATCAATCAATCACTCCAGGAAAAAATAAAGATTGCCCCCTTGAGATGAGGTTCAACAGGCAGAAGAAACCTGCTTATTATGAGCATGAAATATGAACAGACGACAAATAAGCAAAAACTATTCTGTTTGGTTGAGAGAAGCAGGAGAAGGGAAGACAATGGGTAAGGCAGATTTTTGAACCAAAGCGATTTTTGAAAAGTTCACGGAAAAATAACAAACTATCACCAGAAACATATTAAGATGATTTGGCCAAATTTAACATTGTCGACATTTTTGTTTCCCTTTTTGAATCAACTGGACATGCAGAATCTTAGAAGAAACAAGTATACATAGTCCCCGACTTACGACTACAATTGAGTCCAAAATTTCCATTGCTAAGCAAGACAGTTGTTAAGTGGCCACTTTGGCCACTTTTATTATCTTTTTTGCCACATTTGTTAAGCAAACCACTGCAGTTATTACAAGAATTGTGCTGTCAGTAAACGAACCTGGCTTCCCCCATTGATTTTGCTTGTCAGAAGCCAGCTGGGAAGGTTACAGATGGTGATCACATGACCTCAGGATGCTGCAACGGTCGTAAATACCTGCTGGTTGCTAAGATTTTGATCATGTGACTCTAGGGATGCTGCCTCGGTCATGAGTGTGGCAACTGGTCATAAGTCATTTTTTTCAGTGCCGTTGTAACTTTGAATAGTCACTAAACGAATGGTCGAGGGTTACCTGTATCTTAGGTACTTGTCCAGAATCCTTACATTTCTGCCTAATTTTAAATGAAATGCTAATGCAAGTGTTTAGTACATCATATAATAATAGGCATTTTCATCACTAAAAGCACCCTAAGTACTGTATGTATTTACATTTGCCCATTAAGCCTTACTGTGGGCTTTTTCACCATCGTTTAGGTTGAAGTATTATCCACCCATCCTTGAATGGGCCAAAGTTATCCCGGCATCAAATCCACACTGTCTGTTCTGCCAAACCATCCTTGTCACTCTTCCCCACTGCATGAAGAACAGGGGGTGACTAATACAGCATGTACCTTGCAATAAATGGAGAAGCGTTATTAGAAGTACAGAGAAAGGATGAGCTAAAGCTGCCTGGCTGCTGGGCTGGGAGGTAGACGAAGGCAACCACATGGGAACACCGCACGCAGGGAAAAAAAAAGGATGTTGCCATGGCATAAGTTGGGCTGCGGCGAAGTGCCGATGGGGCCTGTACAATTACAAACACAGACAACAACACAACCCTTGCCCTCCCAAGGCCAACCTGTGGAGTTCTGCACACCAGGACTGTGTCTGCAATGAGAAGGGCTTCCTGTGGTTCAGGGCACATGCCAAGACGCCCTCTGCTCTTAAGGTGAGGCGTTTATACAGACAGGACTGGAAGGTGATGCCAGGAGGACTAAGTTTTAAGCCAAGTTTAAGCCGGCTTGGTGCCTGGCAAGGACCGGCTTGGTGCCTGGCAAGGACCGGCTTGGTGCCTGGCAAGGACCAAGCCGGCGCCAGACCCTAGTTCAGCAGGGGGAGGACCCCGTTGTTCACACACACACCCCATCCCAGGTAGTAACTCACTGTGGTTCAGGGGGTGTGGATTCCGGTCGGCCAGCACCACCAGCTCCAGGTAGGCTGCGCAGAGCCCCACGGCCAGCAGCCCGAAGACCAGCAGGAGGCGAAACCTCCTCCTTAGCGCCTTGCCCAGAAGGAACGCGAGGGTCCTCATCCCGCCTCAGTCGAAGCCGGAAGAAACGAACATGCTGCTGCGGCTGTTGCCGTGGCAGCGTTCGCCCCGGTCGGCTCCTCCGCGAGGCTCACCTGCTACGGCGCCTGCAAGAGTTCGCCGGCGCCGGATCGCTGCTCCGGGACCCCAACATCGAAGTTGTCCCGCACGCGCTCAAATCCCCCTTCCTTCCTTCCTTCCTTCCTTCCCTCCCTCCCTCCCTCCTTCCTTCCTTCCCTCCCTCCGAAGCCTCTTCTCGCCCCTTCGGATTGGGCTGCGAGCCCTGCCTGCTTTCCGGCCACCTTCCGCAGGTATCGTCCCGCTCCCTTCGCTCCTCGGCCAGGCGATCTGCCCAGGTCCCACTTTTCTGCCTGCCTGCCTGCCTGCCTGCCTTCGCTCGCCCCGCTGCCAGCGCCGAGCGGGCTCGCCTCCTCTTCTTTCCCCGTCTCGTCCACGCGCTTTCTCCTTGCCCAAACCCAGCCAGCCCGATGCAGGGGCGGGATCTCCTCCTCCCACAGCCGCCTCCTCCTTCTCCGACGACAACGACTCCCCTTCCTGCTCTCCTCTGGCACCTGTGCGCCGCCGCCCAGTCGCCCCGTCTCCCGGCATCCTGTCCTTGAACGGTTCCTCAAGGCTGCGCTGACGGGGGGTCCGAGGAGAGCCCCAGATCCCAGCACAAGCTGATCTAAAAGCCACGGCAGGGAAGGGCCCGCGGAGGAAGGACATTCGGAGTCCCCCCCCCCTCCTCATCTCCTTCCTGAGGGCGAGAGGAACGGTTGGGAAGCCACAGTCACCCAAGCAGGGCTTAAATCAGTGGTGGCGAACCTATGGCACGCGTGCCAGAGGCGGCACTCAGAGCCTTTTCTGTGGGCACGCGCACCGCTGCTGCCATCAGCTCGCGCAGGTCCATTAGGCCGCTGCCGCTGCCCAGAACAGCAGCCCCACCCAGCACAAAGGAGGCAAAGTGGCCAACTAGAAAGTCAAGTAGAGGTGGTAGAGCACGCCCACACCCAAAGGCCACTCTGAGCAGGGAAAGCCAGATCCCCATCGGCGCCATGGCCCCCCAGTCCCAGCTAGGATTGCGTGCCTCCTCCCATCTATGCTGGGCCTCCTGCCCACCGCCCCACCCGCCAGAGACCCCCTGGATCTTCCCCAACCCTGCCTGGCCCCCCGTAGGTATCGCCCCCGCATGAGCAACATCGAGGTGGCCATGTCCACCCCAGCCACGCCCACCAAGTCTGCCATGACAACTGCAGCCATGCCCACCCAGTGGGCCACGCCCCCATGCCCCCCCCAAGGGCACCACAATGCTGATGCGGCCCTGGCACTTTACGATAAATAAGTGGGTTTTGGGTTGTGGTTTGGGCACTCTGTCTCTAAAAGGTTCGCCATCACTGGCTTAAATCATCTCGTCCGATTCTGTACTCCCTCCAGGAATCCGAATTAAAGCATCCCAATCTGTTGCTTGTCCAGCCTGCGCTTGAATGCATCGCCTTATTGACTCTCCAGGGGTTGGGGATCTACTGTCCAGGAACACGTTGGGAACACCAACATCTGACTTCCTCTAACTTAAAACTGCTCCTGCTGACAAATGGCCAGTGGTGGAAAGACCTGTTTCTATCTAGCTTTCACCTAAGATTGGGCAATAAATTTCTAGACGCTCAAATCCCTACTTTGGAGCTAGCAGTGAAGCATCAAGAAGATAGGTATTCTCAAAGTGCGCTCAACAAAGTCAAAATGGTGATTGCCATGCTGCTATTGAACTTCCCCCTAAGGCAGAGGTCTCCAACCTTGGCAACGTTATGACTTGTGGACTTCAACTCCCAGAATTCCTCAGCTGGCAATGCCCTGTCTTGGTTCCTAGGCTAAAGGTTTTTTCTCTGCCTTTTCTGATTCAGAATCGTTTTACCAAGAAAAATACAGAGACATCAATGCATCTTGCACCTATCAAATGTTAGGCTTTTAGGGAAGCAGCTTTGAACCTCTCCTTGACTTGCAAACCTAGCTGAGGTGGTGGACATTTCCTGTGTCTTCTCTATGCCAAAGGAAAATCTCCAAAAAAGTGAACTTGTTATGGGCTTCTGGCAATGCTATATAGCTATAGCTACATCTGAACTTCGAGAGAGGGAGAGTGTTTGGTGTAGTGGTTAAGATGCTGCTTTAAAAACCAGGAGATCTATGGGTTCTAGTTCTGCTTTAGGCATGAAAGTCATCTGGGTGACTTTGGGCCAGTCATCTCTCTCAGCCCAACCCACCTCACAAGGTTGTTGTGTGGGGGGGGGGGAATAGGAAGGAGTAATATTTATGTTTGCCACTTTGGGTTACTTATAAATTAAGAAAGGCAGAATAAAAATCAAATAAATAAGTAAGTAAGTAATATATAGTCTCTGCCATCTATGGCTCTCATTCGTGGCTTATTTTCTTTGTTTTGGAGTGGGGGAAGGGTTGCTCCTAAAACTTTATGATCTTTCTGCAAGCCCTGAAGATTTCTTCTGTTTGCTCAGTTCTGAAAGCAAAGCTGTCATCATTCTGGGACGTGGGAACAGCATTCAAAGGATTTATGTTAATCAAACAATCTCCTATTGCACAGAATTTTAAGCTGCATGGGACTTTGTCCCTTGTCATCACTGTAATCGATATGGGCAGAAAGGAAATTAATTCTCATGAAAAATGATGAAGGAAGTGAATGGGAGAGAGCAGGCATCCTAGCTAGAAATAAGCTTCATCTCACTGATCCCTCAGCACAAAGAGAAGAGACTAATGGAATATACAGGTAGTCTTTGACTTAAACCCATTTGTTTAGGGACCATTCAGTGTTATAACAACTCTGAAAAAAGTGACGAATGACTGTTTTTCCAACAACCATTGCAGCATCTCCAGGGTCACGTGATCAAAATTTGGACGCCTAGCCACTGGTTCATATTTATGACGGTTGCTGTGTCCCGCAGTCCTGTGATCACTTTTTTCAAACTTCTGACAAGCAAATTCAATGGGAAAGCCAGATTCACTTAACAACCATGTTACTAACTTAACAACTGCAATCATTCACTTAACATCTGGGACAAGAAAGGTCTTAAATTGTGGCAATTTATCAACTGTCTCTCTGAGCAACAGAAACTTTGGGCTCAACCCCGCATAAGTGAGGACTACCTGTACTGTATTATAAAACAATTCAGAACTCAAAGTAGTTTCAGAAGCTGAATTTTGACCCAGGGAAGGTCCAGCCAGAGGACAAAAGAGGACAGACCTACTGTTAACTTTCTTGGCATCCACAACAAAAATTACAGTGAAAAATGAAAAAAGTACTTAAGCCTACATGTGTATGAAACTGCTTTTCCCAGCATCAAAAAACCTATTTTTTCAATCACAATATTTTTCCAACAACTCTTTGTTTTAAAAGAATATATGTTACTAATAATGTTGAATTGACACTGATGCATTTCCATATTTCACCATACAAACCGTGCAATCTTCACACCATAGTGACCGTAGATTTGAAGGCAATTGCTGAAATCAAGCAATGAATCAAAGTAAATCCAGGCTGCCAATTCTGTCAATCAACAAGGGAAAGAAAGAAGCAGACAATTTATAAGATCATACCCTGGGCTACAAGTATTCTCCTTCATCGGTATCATAATATATGAATGTTTGAATGGCTGCTGTTATGAAAACAGTAAAAAAGCCCACAAAAGAACCCAAATCTGATTTTAAGGGTATGCCTGCCAGATAAAAGACATGAGGACAAAAAGAAGAATATGCCTTGCTTTTGCCATTCATTTATTAACTCTAAGAATTTTAATTTTAGGAATTAACTCTAAGAATTTTAATTTTAGGAATTAAAAGAATTTTAATAATATTTAATAATCATAGAAGATATTGCAATCAAATAAGTATATTTTAACAAAGATCACTGGGAAGATCACTGAAATCCCAAAGGTGCTTTTTCAGGAGGCAACGGGACTTTCTTGTTTTTCTTTGAAGACGTTTTGCTTTTCATCCAAGAAGCTTCTTCAGCTCTGACTGGATGGTGGAGAATGGAAGGATTTATATTCCATGCAGGCAGATAGGTAGTTAGACCACAAGAGCTTGCGGAAAGCATAAAGTTGTGTCTTTGCATCAGTTACACCTGGCTGACCTTTAGGAATGTTTACTCAGAAGCTGATGTGGCTGACAATACTGAGAAAAGAGTAAACAGTAAGGAAGTTGATAGGAAGCTTTTCATAGCTCCACAGAGGCGTAGCTTAACAGCAAAAGCTTGCAGAAAGGCGTGGAACGAAAAAGCATGATCTAGTAATTTTATCTTCCAAGGTTTAAACAAAGAGGGAACCAAAGCAACTAAAACTTGTTGTTACAGAGTACTGTATATGCTATATACAGGGGAGGGACTTGTGCTTCAGGAAAAGGGAATAAATAAACAGCCATTTGATGCCTGGGTGTGCCTACTTGCTAGCCACCCCACTCTTACAAGAACATATTTTTCAATAAACTGCTTGCTGCTTCACTTAATGACTGTCAAATGCTTGGAAGCTCGGTGTGTTTCTCACACTCTTGCGTTTCATTTTCCTTCTGTTCTTTGTAAGGACTTGTGGCCTAGTGGCCCCCTCTTTTAAGCAGACTGACCTGTTTCCATCTGCTCCTTGTTTCTGCAGTGGTCAGATTTACTCATATCTTGTTTTATTTTTATTATTGGTAGTGTGAAAATTAATTCTCACAGGTCAGAGAAAAGCAAGGAAGGACTATAATTGCCAAGAAGGAACAGTCAAATATAATTATACTCCCTACAATTTCTGTTGCCTGAAGTGGATGTGTGAACATGGGATGAACACTTGGGTAACTCCACTTATTCTGTTTCTTCAGTTATGTCATATACACCCATTTTTTTCAGTATTTCATACTTTCATTCACTTAGTATGCTTTCCACATATACTTCTCCAAAAGATATGGTTCATGTGACCATGCAGCTCCAAAGCTGATCATGGTGGATGGGGAATTCTGGGAGTTGAAGTCCACACATCTTAAAGTTGCCAAGATTGAAAAACACT